TGTTATACCTGGAATATATCTGGAGAGGGTTTCGGGGGTCAACGTCCCCAAAGCCCGGTCTGTGACCATGCAGAACATTTCGGGCAAATTAGGTCAGTTTTGTCCCAGGATGCGACCCACACCAGTTTACTAACACCCAGATACCCACGTTACTGATGGGTGAACACAGACAACCGATTTAAGGAAACGCCCAATGTCTACCCTTGCCAGGAATCGAACCCAGGCCCTCACCATGTGAAGAGAGAGCTTTTGCCACCAGGCCATGGGTCACCACACAAATGATACAGAGCTAGTTGACATGACTCACGAAATCGTAATGACACGATTGCAAACAAACCATACCCCGGCCGGGATTGAACCCGCGGTCAGAGAAGGGACTTGAGCTAGAGTTCGTCAAGGCCACACTAGCTGAAGATTCGTCTGTAAAAACTTGCATTTGTGGTCACAGTGGTGCCTGTGCTAAACTTCCTATGGTGTAGAAATATACCTAGTTGGACGAATCTTATTGTGGCTAGCTGGTCTAGTGGCTAACGCGATGGGCTGGAGTTTTGAGACTCTCTGACCGCGGGTTTAATCCCGGCCGGGGTATGGTTTGGTTTCTAGTTGACATCACTGACAGAGTAGTCCCTTGTTATGCAGAGCATTTCAGGCAACTAATGTTCATCTTATTCCCCAGGATGCAACCCACAACAGTCAACTAACACCCAAGTACCTACTTACTACTAGGCAAATGGGCAGCAAGCATCAAGAAACATACCCAACGTTTTGCCCAAGCCAGGGAACAATTCCAGACCATAAGAACATAAGAACGAAGGAACACTGCAGAAGGCCTACTGGCCCATGTGAGGCAGGTCCAAGTCTCCTACCAGCTTATGCCAATGCACCCAACCTAAACCATACCCCCGGCCGGGATTGAACCCGCGGTCATAGAGTCTCAAAACTCCAGCCCGTCGCGTTAGCCACTAGACCAGCTAGCCACCAGCGTTAGTCTAGTGGCTAACGCGACGGGCTGGAGTTTTGAGACTCTATGACCGCGGGTTCAATCCCGGCCGGGGGTATGGTTTATTTGCAATCGTGTCATTACGATTTCTTAAGTCACCCAACCTAGTCAGGTCAGGTCACATTGACTTAAGGGAGGAACACGGCAACCGACCTGGTAGCACAAGCTATCAGGTCCAACTCACACCCACCCACATCCACTCATATATTTATCCAACCTATTTTAAAGCTACACAACGTTCTGGCTTCTATAACTGTACTTGAGAGTTCGTTCCACTCATCCACAACTCTATTACCAAACCAGTACTTTCCTATATCCTTCCTGAATCTGAATTTTTCCAACTTAAAACCATTGCTGCGAGTCCTGTCTAGGCTAGATATTTTCAGCACACTATTTACAACCCTTTATTTATTCCTGTCTTCCATTTATACACCTCAATCATATCCCCCCTAATTCTACGTCTTTCTAGAGAGTGCAGATTTAGGGCCCTTAGTCTATTCAGGGCCCGGTGGCCTGGTGGCTAAAGCTCCCGCTTCACACACGGAGGGCCCGGGTTCGATTCCCGGCGGGTGGAAACATTTCGACACGTTTCCTTACACCTGTTGTCCTGTTCACCTAGCAGCAAATAGGTACCTGGGTGTTAGTCGACTGGTGTGGGTCGCATCCTGGGGGACAAGATTAAGGACCCCAATGGAAATAAGTTACAGTCCTCGATGACGCACTGACTTTCTTGGGTTATCCTGGGTGGCTAACCCTCCGGGGTTAAAAATCCGAACGAAATCTTATCTTATCCTCATAGGGAAGGTTTCTGATACATGGGATCAACTTTGTCATCCTCCTTTGTACATTTTCCAGAGCATTTATATCCATTCTGTAATACGGTGACCAAAACTGTGCAGCATAATCTAAATGAGGCCTAACCAAGGATGTATAGACTTGAAGAACAACCTGAAGACTCCTATTATTTATGCTTCTTGATATGAAGCCAAGGATTCTATTAGCTTTATTGCGAACACTTATGCAATGTTGTCTTGGTTTCAGATTACTGCTAACCAGAACTCCTAAATCTTTTTCGCAATCCGTAATATTAAGATCTACATTATTTAGTTTATATGTGGCATGGTTATTTTCCTGTCCAACATTTAGAACTTTGCATTTGTCTATATTAAACTGCATCTGCAACTTCTCCGACCACTGCATCAGTCTATTCAAATCTTCCTGGAGTGCTCTAATGTCCTCGTCAGAATGAATTCGACGGCCTATTTTGGTGTCATCGGCAAACTTGCCGATGTCGCTCTTTATGCCCTCATCTATGTCGTTTATGTAGATTGTGAACAACAGGGGGCCCAACACTGACCCCTGTGGAACACCGCTCGTGACGCTTCCCCACTCTGATTTCTCCCCATTTATGCAAACTCTCTGCTGCCTATTTGTCAACCATGCCTCGATCCAGGAAAAAATTTCTCCTATTCCATGTGCCTTAATTTTCCTCAATAGTCTCTGATGTAGGACCCTGTCAAAAGCCTTACTGAAGTCCATATACACAATATCATATTCATTACCATGATCTACCTCCTCAAATACCTTAGTGAAAAAAGTTAATAAATTCCTAAGGCAGGAACGCCCCTTTGTAAAACCATGCTGAGATTCGTTGATTAATTTATGCCTTTCAAGGTGGCTACGAACTGCCTCGGCAATTATTGATTCCATAAATTTTCCCACTATGGAGGTTAAGCTTATTGGTCTATAGTTTGAAGCTAAGAAAATAAGAGGCTTTGAAAATAGGTATCACATTTGCCATTTTCCACTTATCTGGCACCATGCCAGTTTGTAGTGATATGTTGAAAAGATTAGGTGCTCTTCGCACCTACTCCAAGGTTGAGGGACTGATTACCTATCTTCTGTACATAGTTCTACTGTCTTCAAGTTATGTCCTGGAATTTGTATTGATAAAGCCACTGGATGGCGAAACGTCTACAATGAAGATACCCAGATGTTGCACATGTGTCTTAATTTCACAGTGTTCTTTTTCAAGTCACAAACATCTGTGACAAGTTTAAGCCATATTATTATAATAAAAAAGAAGCGCTAAACAGTGTATGGGCATAATAGTCATTAAAGATCACAAATTGCATTTCCTTCTTACCATCGTGGCAATATTCCACATTATTAAATCGTTAACTTGTTTCTATGGAGGGAATAAGTCAGTGACTGATTGCCTCATCTTATCTCCAGTTTGAACACCTTCATTTCAAGACTGATGACAGCAAGTTATTTGGGTACAGGTACACAAATTTAGGACACTACAATTAATACACATTAACATGTGTATATTACCTAGGATATCCAAACAGTTCACAAACTGCATTGAAATTTACCAAATGGTAAAACATTTTGATAAGGTTAACTGTGCACTTAGGCAAGATTGGTCAGGAAACAGGTCATACAATGATCCCACACTAGAGGTTTTGGTCATCTGACCGAGGCCTTCCGCTGGTTTACTAGTCCACCCCTTTAAAAAATAATGTATCTAATACCTAAGCACTGCACGCGTCTTCTTTGTTACTAATTCCTGAGTCATCCTGTATCTGGTGAAGTCACCGACGTCAGTGACTTAGTCTACTGGAAGGCTCGGTGATTTGTTAAGATATAACCAAGACTTAACCATCCTTATTTAGGTTTATTTTGGGTTATATTAACATAAGATTTGTACTTACTGATAATTAAAAATTAAAGCAATATGGGAGAACACAGCCATAAGGAAAATAACGGAGACGTCTGAGAGATCTTAGTAACGTCGGCGAGATCACTAGTACCTGGAGTTTACCTGGAGAGAGTTCCGGGGGTCAACGCCCCCGCGGCCCGGTCAACTTTGTCAAATCTACATATTGTACATAAGTTCATTTAGATACAAATAAGATTATCAGTCCTAGTAACGTATAGATTACCTAGAGTAATACAAAAAAGTCAGGCATGTTCCTAAGACACCTGTATGACTTACACAGCATTATGAAAAAAAATATTTATATGAATACAAAGTGCAAATTAAAAAAAAATTCTGCGTTATATTCCATAATGCGTTTGTATAAAGTTGACCTAAATAAATTAATAAACTGCTACAGTCCTTGGTAGTGCCGCTAGAAATCTTCATTTAGGGCCCAATACAACCGAAGGGGCCTACTAGTACCCTGGATCAAGAGCCTCTCAACGCCATCAAGGTACTTAGATTAACAGCGAGTCACAGCTCCTGGTCCAGCTGGACCAGGAGCTGTGACTCGACCCCTGCAACCACATAGGCGAGTACATGGCCACACAGTGAACACGCTCTACATTCATGGGGTGTAGCGCTAAACCCATAGGGGTATTACACCACCTGGGGCTATGGGAGGTAGTATTTTGATCCAAGGAAGAGGAGAGGCTCAGTTCCTTGGATGAAAAGCCTCAGCAGCGTCAAGGAACCAACCCTGGAACAGGAAGTACATAACTACGCACCACACTGGTCCATGTTGGCCAAGATGGGTGGTCCATGTTGGCCAAGATGGGTGGTCCATGCTGGCCAAGATGGGTGGTCCATGTTGGCCAAGATGGGTGGTCCATGCTGGCCAAGATGGGTGGTCCATGCTGGCCAAGATGGGTGGTCCATGTTGGCCAAGATGGGTGGTCCATGTTGGCCAAGATGGGTGGTCCATGTTGGCCAAGATGGGTGGTCCATGTTGGCCAAGATGGGTGGTCCATGTTGGCCAAGATGGTGGTCCATGTTGGCCAAGATGGGTGGTCCATGTTGGCCAAGATGGGTGGTCCATGTTGGCCAAGATGGGTGGTCCATGTTGGCCAAGATGGGTGGTCCATGCTGGCCAAGATGGGTGGTCCATGTTGGCCAAGATGGGTGGTCCATGTTGGCCAAGATGGGTGGTCCATGTTGGCCAAGATGGGTGGTCCATGTTGGCCAAGATGGGTGGTCCATGTTGGCCAACATGACTGGGTCACTCTCAACACCTACCTTAGTGTTCACGTCAATAAACACAGAAGTAACTGTAGTTCGATTTTAAGAATAAATAAACAATGGAGAGCAGAAGTGATGCACCAGAGGACGAGCGTACCCAACCTTCCTTCGCGACAGCTGCGTCAACACTGATCAACTCCACAACATTTCTCCCTCATCAATTACTGCCACACTCTCGGAAACTTTATCTTACCACTTCACGGAATTTTTACCGCAAACTAAAATTTACTTAGATTACTTTACTGGTGACATCACTCATACCTTAAATGAAGCTTGCTTAGGTTTTGTGACTTCAGTTATGGAAAGTATGTTTACTTTATTATGGAAATCATGTCTTCTTAATGGTGGTAATCTCTTACGTCCGGCAGGCTAGCTACACACGACAACATTACACGCAGTCACATGATCGGAGATCACGTGACTCATCTTCATGACGCCACTCAACGCTTCGTGTGATATACCCGTCCACTATGAGAATTCGTGTGATATACCCGTCCAGTATGATACGTGTGATATATCTGACTAGTATTATGCTGTATATGTGGAACACTCGTCCAGGAACTACAATAAACATGAGAATAAAAGGATTAGATGCATTATCGGAAAAGTTTTTCATTTCTTAGAATTAACGGGAAGAATAACTTGAGACCTCCTTCTCAGAGTATTTTATGTTATAAAAGTATTGATTATATTCTTATCACCACTAATAAGCACCTGAGAAAGAAGGAGTACTGCAGTAGGCCTACTGGCCCATGCAAAGGCAAGTTCAACTCACAACCATTTATAGGAACGTAAGAAAGGAGCAATGGCAATGGAATGAACTGCCTGCACATGTCAAAGCCTGTCATAACATGAGCCATTTCAGGAAGAGAGCTAAAAGGTACCTAATGAATGTAGCGACGGAAAGAACATTAAGAAGGAAGGAGCACTGCGGTATGCCTACTGGCCTGTGCTAGGCAGGTCCAAGTCATCTACCAGCCTAAGCTACCGGCCAAAGCCAGTCAGGTCCAAGTCACATCCAAAGAGAGGAGAGTGATTTTTTTTGGATAGCTAGCATACAAGTACCTATCACTGTGATATGATCCTCTCTTTAATGTTAATTTAAATAACACATTTACCTTATTCCTGTTATATCTCCTTTTAAGAAGATTTATCCTGGAACTGGGTCCAAGACAACATGTAGGCCAGGATGAATTACAACAACTAGATTTGCTAAATGTTGAAGAGTAAAACAATTGAAGCTAAATCAAGTTTATAAAATTGCTCACAGTGTCCAGAATATCTTGCTGCCAATTTTATCAAGGCTGGGAACCAAAGTAATCATAGTACTAAGGGGAGAGAGCACAACTTTGTTGAAGAATTGAGACACTTATGCAACATATGGGACTCTTCAAGCTGCCGGTTTTAAAACCATTTATTACGTCTTTCAGACACTGCAACATCATGGGATCTTGTTACAAAGAATTTTTCAACACTTGTCCAATCTTTGGACGAAGACCTACTTACACTAGTGGATGGTCCCACTGTGATCCCGCCTCCTCCTGCTTAGACTCACCTGACTACAGTATATAAGCCACTTCTCTGGCCCTGTGCTGTATTTCCTACAAGAGTGATGGACTGAACACCATTTCCAGGCTGAGGGACTGATTACCTCAACTCCTACACTAGGGTTGGAATCAGTCTAAGGGAGGGATCCCAATCATATGTAGCATCTTGCCTAGAAGGGGAGTAGGAAATGAATGGTTGTCTAGGGCAATTGGTGTAAATTGCTGGCTAGACAGATACTGCAAGGAACTTGCAATCCCATTCATTGACAACTGGAACAACTTTTATGGCAAACATGATATGTATGCAAGGGATGGGGTACATCTCTCTGGGGCTGGGGTGGTAGCACTTGCAGACTCGATTGAGAAGGCCATTGGTGAAATGCCTATGATTTTAAACTGATGGAAGATAGAGGTATGGGTGTGTGTGGGAAACAAGCTGGTTGCAACACTTGGGTTGGAAACAGTAAATGTATAAAAGGCATTCAGCATGAAGTTATAAATAAAGACAATAGATCAGGTCAGCAAACAAAGGGGGACAGAAGAGGGCAGCAAGGGACTAGCTCCCTTAAGGTTTACTATACTAATAGCAGGAGTGTAAGAAATAGGATAGATGAGCTAAGATTAATTGCAAGTGAAGGAAACATAGATATTATTGCTATAACAGAGACCTGGCTCAATCTGAAAGATAGAGAGATCCCCTCTGAATGTCACATACAAGGCTATAAATTATTCCACACTGACAGGGTCAACAGGAAAGGTGGTGGAGTAGCGATGTATGTCAGAGACAATTTAAATTGTTGTGTTAGACAAGATATTAAATTAGAAGCGTCAGCCACTGAATCTGTTTGGTTACAGCTTCTCGAGGGCCGAGAAAAACTAATTTTGGGTGTGATTTACAGGGCCCCAAATCTTGATAGGGAGTGCAGTAAACTTCTATGGGACGAAATTCGTAAGGCATCTACATACGAAAATGTTGTGCTAATGGGAGATTTCAACTATAGACAGATTGACTGGAGCAATTTGACAGGAAATTTAGAGTCAGGTGACTTTATTGATACGATCCAGGATTGTTTTTTAAAACAGTTTGTGACAGAGCCAACTAGGGGAAATAACCTCCTTGACTTGGTTCTTGCCAGTAGGGAAACACTAATTAATAATCTTGAGGTTAATGATGAGCTTGGGGAAAGTGATCACAAATCACTCAGTTTTAATATATCATGGAATTCCCCTAATAATGGCAATCAAGTCTCCGTCCCTGACTTTCGCTTGGCTGATTTCATAGGACTGAAAAATTACTTAGGTGGGGTGAACTGGAATGACCTGACTAAGGGTCAGGTAGGTGGTGATGGTTGCCGATATGATGCTTTCCAGGGCATAGTTCTAGCTGCTCAGTCAAATTATGTTCCAAATAGGGAAATCAGATCAAACAAAAATGATCCTAAATGGATGAACAATAGATTAAAATATCTGATTGGTCAAAAGAGAGGCATATATAGGCAAATCAAAAGAGGAGAGGGGCAATTGAGAAATCGATATATTAAGTTAAGAGAGAAATAAAAAGGGAATTAGAAAAAGAAAAAAGAGATTATGAGGTTAAAGTTGCAAGAGAATCGAAGACTAACCCAAAAGGATTCTTTCAGGTATACGAAGTAAGATCAGGGACAAGATGGGCCCCACTCAAAAGTTCCTCGGGTCAGCTCACTGACAGGATAAGGAAATGTGTAGAATTTTTTTAACACATACTTCCTCTCAGTTTTTACACAGGAGGATACCAGCGATATTCCAGTAATGATAAATTATGTAGAACAGACGATAATAAACTGTGCACTATTAGGGTCACAAGTGACATGGTCCTTAGGCAAATAGATAAATTAAAACTAACAAATCCCAGGCCCTGATGAACTGTATGCAAGGGTTCAAAGGAATGTAAAGAGGGAGCTTAGCACACCTTTGGCTAATCTTTTCAACATATCACTACAAAACTGGCATGGTGCCAGATAAGTGGAAAATGGCAAATGTGATACCTATTTTCAAAGCAGGTGACAGGTCCTTAGCTTCGAAACTATAGCCCAAAATAAGCCTAACCTCCATAGTGGGGAAATTTATGGAATCAATAATTGCCGAGGCAGTTCGTAGCCACCTTGAAAAGCAAAAATTTAAATCAACGAATCTCAGCATGGTTTTACAAAGGGGCGTTCCTGCCTTACGAATTTATTAATTTTTTTTCACTAAGGTATTTGATGAGGTAGATCATGGTAATGAATATGATATTGTGTATATGGACTTCAGTAAGGCTTTTGACAGGGTCCCATCAGAGACTATTGAGGAAAATTAAAGCACATGGAATAGGAGGAGAAATTTTTTCCTGGATAGAGGCATGGTTGACAAATAGGCAGCAGAGAGTTTGCATAAATGGGGAGAAATCAGAGTGGGGAAGTGTCACGAGCGGTTGTTCCACAGGGTCAGTGTTTGGGCCCCCTGCTGTTCACAATCTACATAAACGACATGGATGAGGGCATAAAGAGCGACATCGGCAAGTTTGCCGATGACACCAAAATAGGCCGGGCGAATTCATTCTGACGAGGACATTCGAGCACTCCAGGAAGATTTGAATAGACTGATGCAGTGGTCGGAGAAGTGGCAGATGCAGTTTAATATAGACAAATGCAAGTTCTAAATGTTGGACAGGACAATAACCATGCCACATATAAACTAAATAATGTAGATCTTAATGTTACGGATTGCGAAAAAGATTTAGGAGTTCTGGTTAGCAGTAATCTGAAACCAAGACAACAGTGCATAAGTGTTCGCAATAAAGCTAATAGAATCCTTGGCTTCATATCAAGAAGCATAAATAATAGGAGTCCTCAGGTTGTTCTTCAACTCTAATACATCCTTGGTTAGGCCTCATTTAGATTATGCTGCACAGTTTTGGTCACCGTATTACAGAATGGATATAAATTCTCTGGAAAATGTACAAAGGAGGATGACAAAGTTGATCCCATGTATCAGAAGCCTTCCCTATGAGGATAGACTAAGGGCCCTGAAACTGCACTCTCTAGAAAGACGTAGAATTAGGGGGGATATGATTGAGGTGTATAAATGGAAGACAGGAATAAATAAAGGGGATGTAAATAGTGTGCTGAAAGTATCTAGCCTAGACAGGACTCGCAGCAATGGTTTTAAGTTGGAAAAATTCAGATTCAGGAAGGATATAGGAAAGTACTGGTTTGGTAATAGAGTTGTGGATGAGTGGAACAAACTCCCAGTACCGTTATAGAGGCCAGAACGTTGTGTAGCTTTAAAAATAGGTTGGATAAATACATGAGTAGATGTGGGTGGGTGTGAGCTAGACCTGATAGCTTGTGCTACCAGGTCGGTTGCCGTGTTCCTCCCTTAAGTCAATGTGACCTGACCTGACTAGGTTGGGTGCATTGGCTTAAGCCGGTAGGAGACTTGGACCTGCCTCGCATGGGCCAGTAGGCCTTCTGCAGTGTTCCTTCGTTCTTATGTTCTTATGTTCTTATAAAAGGCATTCAGCATGAAGTTATAAATAAAGACAATAGATCAGGTCAGCAAACAAAGGGGGACAGCAGAGGACAGCAAGGG